TAAATTGGCAACTTTTTTGCAAATATGATTTTGGCCAAACGCGTTAGGCAATAAATTCTGTAAAAATTGTCACTTTGTGGTCATTTTTATGTTATCTCAAGGTTGTTGCCCATCCAGATTGTACCAAAAATGCCAAATCAGACATTCCAGTTTACATACTCTGCATCTAGCGTGTCTATTCATGTGTAAAAAATATTGTCTGGGACTCACTGTTTAGTGGTAGTAGACACAAACAAAGTTGTTAGACAAACATTCTTCGTAAAAATTTTTTTTTTCACTTTTTATTTTTCTTTTATCTTACCCCTATTTTTCTGTCACCACATGAGCTCCACAAGTGTCCAATTTCCTCATCTAGAGTATCTCGTCAAGTGTGAAATGATAGACTGAAGACTAAATTGGCAACTTTTTTGAAAATATTATTTTGGCCAAACGCGACAATGCATAAATTCTGGAAAAATGTCACTTGTGGTCATTTTTATGTTATCTCAATTGTTTGCCCCCAGATTGTACCAAAATGCCAAATCAGACATCCAGTTTAACTACTCTGCATCTAGCGTGTCTATTCATGTGTAAAATAAATTGTCTTGGGACTCACTGTTTAGTGGTAGGACACAAACGAGTTGTTAGAAACATTTCTTCGTAAAATTTGTTTTTCAACTTTTTATCTTATCTATTTTTCTGTCACCAACGAGCTTCGAAGGTCCAATTTCCCATCTAGGAGTATCTCGTCAAGTGGTGAATTGATAGACTGAGAACGCAAATTGGCACCTTTTTTGCTAAATATGATTTTGTCCAAACGCGAAAGCCATAAATTCTAGAAAAATTTCCCAGTTGTGGTCATTTTTATGTTATATCAAATGTTGCCGCCCCAGAAATTTACAAAAATGCCAAATCAGGACAATTCAGTTTACCAAACCCTGCATCTAGCGTGGTCTATTCAATGTGTACAATAATTGTCTAGTAACTCAGCTATTTATTGGTAGGAACACCAAAATGTATTGTTAGGAACAATTTTAGTGTGAAAATTTGTCCTTTCACTTTTTATACTTATCTATTTTTCTGTCCACCAACGAGACACAAAGTGTCCCAACTTATCACCCTAGAGTATCTGGTCAAGTGTGAAATGATATGACCTGAGAATAAATTAGCAACTATTTTTCAAATATGGATTTTGGCTAAGACGCGAAAATGCATAAATTCTGTGACAATTTTGTCATCTTGTGGTCATGTTTTTGCTATCGTCAAGTTTGTTTGCCCCAGATTGTACCAAAATGCCAAATCAGACATTCAGTTTACCTACTCTGCATCTAAAGTGACTATTCATGTGTAAAATAATTGTCTGGGACTCAATGTTTAGTGGTAGGACACAAACAAGTTGTTAGGAACAATTCTTCGTAAAATTTGTTTTTCACTTTCATCTTATCTATTTTTCTGTCACCAACGAGCTCCAAAGTGTCCAATTTCTCATCTAGAGTATCTCGTCAAGTGTGAATTGATAGACTGAGACTAAATTGGCAACTTTTTTGCAAATATTTTTTAAAGGCATAATATTCTGCTCAATTGTCACTTGTGGTCATTTTTATGTTATCTCAATTGTTGCCCTCAGATTAGCAAAAATGCCAAATGAGACATTCAGTTTAACTACTCTGCATCTAGCGTGTCTATTCATGTGTAAAATAATTGTCTGGGACTCACTGTTTAGTGGTAGGACACAAACAAGTTGTTAGGAACATTTCTTCGTAAAATTTGTTTTTCACTTTTATCTTATCTATTTTTCTGTCACCTATGAGCTCCAAAGTGTCCAATTTATCATCTAGAGTATCTCGTCAAGTGTGAAATGATAGACTGAGACTAAATTGGCAACTTTTTGGAAACTATGATTTTGGCCAAACGAGAAAGGCATAAATTCTGGAAAAATGTCACTTGTGGTCATTTTTATGTTATCTCAATTGTTGTCCCCAGATTGTACCAAAAAAAACAAATCAGACATTCAGTTTATCTGCTCTGCATCTAGCGTGTCTATTCATGTGTAAAATAATTGTCTGGGACTCAATGTTTAGTGGTAGGACACAAACAAGTTGTTAGGAACAATTCTTCGTAAAATTTGTTTTTCACTTTTATCTTATCTATTTTTCTGTCACCAACGAGCTCCAAAGTGTCCAATTTATCATCTAGAGTATCTCGTCAAGTGTGAAATGATAGACTGAGACTAAATTGGCAACTTTTTGAAAAATATGATTTTGGCCAAACGCGAAAGGCATAAATTCTGAAAAAAATGTCACTTGTGGTCATTTTTATGTTATCTCAATTGTTGCCCCCAGATTGTACCAAAATGCCAAATCAGACATCCAGTTTAACTACTCTGCATCTAGCGTGTCTATTCATGTGTAAAATAATTGTCTGGGACTCACTGTTTAGTGGTAGGACATAAACAAGTTGTTAGGAACATTTCTTCGTAAAAATTTGTTTTTCACTTTTATCTTATCTTTTTTTTCTGTCACCTATGAGCTCCAAAGTGTCCAATTTCTCATCTAGAGTATCTCGTCAAGTGTGAAATGATAGACTGAGACTAAATTGGCAACTTTTTGGAAAATATGATTTTGGCCAAACGCGAAAGGCATAAATTCTGAAAAATGTCACTTGTGGTCATTTTTATGTTATCTCAATTGTTGCCCCCAGATTGTACCAAAATGCCAAATCAGACATTCAGTTTACCTACTCTGCATCTAGCGTGTCTATTCATGTGTAAAATAATTGTCTGGGACTCAATGTTTAGTGGTAGGACACAAACAAGTTGTAGGAACAATTCTTCGTAAAATTTGTTTTTCACTTTTATCTTATCTATTTTTCTGTCACCAACGAGCTCCAAAGTGTCCAATTTATCATCTAGAGTATCTCGTCAAGTGTGAAATGATAGACTGAGACTAAATTGGCAACTTTTTGGAAAATATGATTTTGGCCAAACGCGAAAGGCATAAATTCTGAAAAAATGTCACTTGTGGTCATTTTTATGTTATCTCAATTGTTGCCCCCAGATTGTACAAAAATGCCAAATCAGACATTCAGTTTACCTACTCTGCATCTAGCGTGTCTATTCATGTGTAAAATAATTGTCTGGGACTCACTGTTTAGTGGTAGGACACAAACAAGTTGTTAGGAACATTTCTTCGTAAAATTTGTTTTTCACTTTTATCTTATCTATTTTTCTGTCACCTATGAGCTCCAAAGTGTCCAATTTCTCATCTAGAGTATCTCGTCAAGTGTGAAATGATAGACTGAGACTAAATTGGCAACTTTTTGGAAAATATGATTTTGGCCAAACGCGAAAGGCATAAATTCTGCAAAAATGTCACTTGTGGTCATTTTTATGTTATCTCAATTGTTGCCCCCAGATTGTACCAAAATGCCAAATCAGACATTCAGTTTACCTACTCTGCATCTAGCGTGTCTATTCATGTGTAAAATAATTGTCTGGGACTCAATGTTTAGTGGTAGGACACAAACAAGTTGTTAGGAACAATTCTTCGTAAAATTTGTTTTTCACTTTATTCTTATCTATTTTTCTGTCACCAACGAGCTCCAAAGTGTCCAATTTATCATCTAGAGTATCTCGTCAAGTGTGAAATGATAGACTGAGACTAAATTGGCAACTTTTTTGAAATATTATTTTGCCAAACGCGAAAGGCATAAATTCTGGAAAAATGTCACTTGTGGTCATTTTTATGTTATCTCAATTGTTGCCCCCAGATTGTACCAAAATGCCAAATCAGACATTCAGTTTACCTACTCTGCATCTAGCGTGTCTATTCATGTGTAAAATAATTGTCTGGGACTCACTGTTTAGTGGTAGGACACAAACAAGTTGTTAGGAACATTTCTTCGTAAAATTTGTTTTTCACTTTTATCTTATCTATTTTTCTGTCACCTATGAGCTCCAAAGTGTCAAATTTCTCATCTAGAGTATCTCGTCAAGTGTGAAATGATAGACTGAGACTAAATTGGCAACTTTTTTGGAAAATATGATTTTGGCCAAACGCGAAAGGCATAAATTCTGGAAAAATGTCACTTGTGGTCATTTTTATGTTATCTCAATTGTTGCCCCCAGATTGTACCAAAATGCCAAATCAGACATCAGTTTACCTACTCTGCATCTAGCGTGTCTATTCATGTGTAAAATAATTGTCTGGGACTCACTGTTTAGTGGTAGGACACACAAACAAGTTGTTAGGAACATTTCTTCGTAAAATTTGGTTTTCACTTTTATCTTATCTATTTTTCTGTCACCAACGAGCTCCAAAGTGTCCAATTTCTCATCTAGAGTATCTCGTCAAGTGTGAAATGATAGACTGAGACTAAATTGGCAACTTTTTTGAAAATATGATTTTGGCCAAACGCGAAAGGCATAAATTCTGCAAAAAATGTCACTTGTGGTCATTTTTATGTTATCTCAATTGTTGCCCCCAGATTGTACCAAAATGCCAAATCAGACATTCAGTTTACCTACTCTGCATCTAGCGTGTCTATTCATGTGTAAAATAATTGTCTGGGACTCACTGTTTAGTGGTAGGACACAAACAAGTTGTTAGGAACATTTCTTCGTAAAATTTGTTTTTCACTTTTATCTTATCTATTTTTCTGTCACCTATGAGCTCCAAAGTGTCCAATTTCTCATCTAGAGTATCTCGTCAAGTGTGAAATGATAGACTGAGACTAAATTGGCAACTTTTTGAAAATATGATTTTGGCCAAACGCGAAAGGCATAAATTCTGGAAAAATGTCACTTGTGGTCATTTTTATGTTATCTCAATTGTTGCCCCCAGATTGTACAAAAATGCCAAATCAGACATTCAGTTTACCTACTCTGCATCTAGCGTGTCTATTCATGTGTAAAATAATTGTCTGGGACTCAATGTTTAGTGGTAGGACACAAACAAGTTGTTTGGAACAATTCTTTGTAAAATTTGTTTTTCACTTTTATCTTATCCATTTTTCTGTCACCTATGAGCTCCAAAGTGTCCAATTTCTTATCTAGAGTATCTCGTCAAGTGTGAAATGATAGACTGAGACTTAATTAGCAACTTTTTGGAAAATATGATTTAGGCCAAACGCGAAAGGCATAAATTCTGGAAAAATGTCACTTGTGGTCGTTTTGATGTTATCTCAATTGTTGCCCCCAGATTGTACCAAAATGCCAAATCAAACATTCAGTTTACCTACTCTGCATATAGCGTGTCTATTCATGTGTAAAATAATTGTCTGGGACTTAATGTTTAGTGGTAGGACACAAACAAGTTGTTTAAAACAATTCTTCGCAAAATATGGTTTTCACTTTTATCTTATCTATTTTTCTGTCACCAACGAGCTCCAAAGTGTCCAATTTATCATCTAGAGTATCTCGTCAAGTGTGAAATGATAGACTGAGACTAAATTGGCAACTTTTTGGAAAATATGATTTTGGCCAAACGCGAAAGGCATAAATTCTGGAAAAATGTCACTTGTGATCATTTTTATGTTATCTCAATTGTTGCCCCCAGATTGTACAAAAATGCCAAATCAGACATCCAGTTTAACTACTCTGCATCTAGCGTGTCTATTCATGTGTAAAATAATTGTCTGGGACTCACTGTTTAGTGGTAGGACACAAACAAGTGTTAGGAACATTTCTTCGTAAAATTTTTGTTTTTCACTTTTATCTTATCTATTTTTCTGTCACCTATGAGCTCCAAAGTGTCCAATTTTCTCATCTAGAGTATCTCGTCAAGTGTGAAATGATAGACTGAGACTAAATTGGCAACTTTTTGGAAAATATGATTTTGGCCAAACGCGAAAGGCATAAATTCTGGAAAAATGTCACTTGTGGTCATTTTTATGTTATCTCAATTGTTGCCCCCAGATTGTACAAAAATGCCAAATCAGACATTCAGTTTACCTACTCTGCATCTAGCGTGTCTATTCATGTGTAAAATAATTGTCTGGGACTCAATGTTTAGTGGTAGGACACAAACAAGTTGTTAGGAACAATTCTTCGTAAAATTTGTTTTTCACTTTTATCTTATCTATTTTTCTGTCACCAACGAGCTCCAAAGTGTCCAATTTATCATCTAGAGTATCTCGTCAAGTGTGAAATGATAGACTGAGATTAAATTGGCAACTTTTTTGAAAATATTATTTTGGCCAAACGCGAAAGGCATAAATTCTGGAAAAATGTCACTTGTGGTCATTTTTATGTTATCTCAATTGTTGCCCCCAGATTGTACAAAAATGCCAAATCAGACATTCAGTTTACCTACTCTGCATCTAGCGTGTCTATTCATGTGTAAAATAATTGTCTGGGACTCAATGTTTAGTGGTAGGACACAAACAAGTTGTTAGGAACATTTCTTCGTAAAATTTGTTTTTCACTTTTATCTTATCTATTTTTCTGTCACCTACGAGCTCCAAAGTGTCCAATTTCTCATCTAGAGTATCTCGTCAAGTGTGAAATGATAGACTGAGACTAAATTGGCAACTTTTTTGGAAAAATATGATTTTTGGCCAAACGCGTAAGGCATAAATTCTGGAAAAATGTCACTTGTGGTCATTTTTATGTTATCTCAATTGTTGCCCCCAGATTGTACCAAAATGCCAAATCAGACATTCAGTTTACCTACTCTGCATCTAGCGTGTCTATTCATGTGTAAAATAATTGTCTGGGACTCAACGTTTAGTGGTAGGACACAAACAAGTTGTTAGAAACATTTCTTCGTAAAATTTGTTTTTCACTTTTATCTTATCTATTTTTTCTGTCACCAACGAGCTCCAAAGTGTCCAATTTATCATCTAGAGTATCTCGTCAAGTGTGAAATGATAGACTGAGACTAAATTGACAACTTTTTTGCAAATATTATTTTGGCCAAACGCGTAAGGCATAAATTCTGCAAAATTGTCACTTGTGGTCATTTTTATGTTATCTCAATTGTTGCCCCCAGATTGTACAAAAATGCCAAATCAGACATTCAGTTTAACTACTCTGCATCTAGCGTGTCTATTCATGTGTAAAATAATTGTCTGGGACTCACTGTTTAGTGGTAGGACACAAACAAGTTGTTAGGAACATTTCTTCGTAAAATTTGTTTTTCACTTTTATCTTATCTATTTTTCTGTCACCTATGAGCTCCAAAGTGTCCAATTTCTCATCTAGAGTATCTCGTCAAGTGTGAAATGATAGACTGAGACTAAATTGGCAACTTTTTGGAAAAATGATTTTGGCCAAACGCGAAAGGCATAAATTCTGGAAAAATGTCACTTGTGGTCATTTTTATGTTATCTCAATTGTTGCCCCCAGATTGTACCAAAATGCCAAATCAGACATTCAGTTTACCTACTCTGCATCTAGCGTGTCTATTCATGTGTAAAATAATTGTCTGGGACTCAATGTTTAGTGGTAGGACACAAACAAGTTGTTAGGAACAATTCTTCGTAAAATTTGTTTTTTTACTTTTATCTTATCTATTTTTCTGTCACCAACGAGCTCCAAAGTGTCCAATTTATCATCTAGAGTATCTCGTCAAGTGTGAAATGATAGACTGAGACTAAATTGGCAACTTTTTTGAAAATATGATTTTGGCCAAACGCGTAAGGCATAAATTCTGGAAAAATGTCACTTGTGGTCATTTTTATGTTATCTCAATTGTTGCCCCTAGATTGTACAAAAATGCCAAATCAGACATTCAGTTTACCTACTCTGCATCTAGCGTGTCTATTCATGTGTAAAATAATTGTCTGGGACTCAATGTTTAGTGGTAGGACACAAACAAGTTGTTAGGAACAATTCTTCGTAAAATTTGTTTTTCACTTTTATCTTATCTATTTTACTGTCACCAACGAGCTCCAAAGTGTCCAATTTCTCATCTAGAGTATCTCGTCAAGTGTGAAATGATAGACTGAGACTAAATTGCAACTTTCTTGCAAATATTATTTTGGCCAAACGCGAAAGGCATAAATTCTGGAAAAATGTCACTTGTGGTCATTTTTATGTTATCTCAATTGTTGCCCCAGATTGTACCAAAATGCAAAATCAGACATTCAGTTTACCTACTCTGCATCTAGCGTGTCTATTCATGTGTAAAATAATTGTCTGGGACTCACTGTTTAGTGGTAGGACACAAACAAGTTGTTAGGAACAATTCTTCGTAAAATTTGTTTTTCACTTTTATCTTATCTATTTTTCTGTCACCTATGAGCTCCAAAGTGTCAAGTTTCTCATCTAGAGTATCTCGTCAATTGTGAAATGATAGACTGAGACTAAATTGGCAACTTTTTGGAAAATATTATTTTGGCCAAACGCGAAAGGCATAAATTCTGAAAAAATGTCACTTGTGGTCATTTTTATGTTATCTCAATTGTTGCTCCCAGATTGTACAAAAATGCCAAATCAGACATTCAGTTTACCTACTCTGCATCTAGCGTGTCTATTCATGTGTAAAATAATTGTCTGGGACTCACTGTTTAGTGGTAGGACACAAACAAGTTGTTAGGAACATTTCTTCGTAAATTTGTTTTTCACTTTTATCTTATCTATTTTTCTGTCACCTATGAGCTCCAAAGTGTCCAATTTCTCATCTAGAGTATCTCGTCAAGTGTGAAATGATAGACTGAGACTAAATTGGCAACTTTTGGAAAATATGATTTTGGCCAAACGCGAAAGGCATAAATTCTGGAAAAATGTCACTTGTGGTCATTTTTATGTTATCTCAATTGTTGCCCCCAGATTGTACCAAAATGCCAAATCAGACATTCAGTTTTACCTACTCTGCATCTAGCGTGTCTATTCATGTGTAAAATAATTGTCTGGGACTCACTGTTTAGTGGTAGGACACAAACAAGTTGTTAGGAACAATTCTTCGTAAAATTTGTTTTTCACTTTTATCTTATCTATTTTTCTGTCACCAACGAGCTCCAAAGTGTCCAATTTATCATCTAGAGTATCTCGTCAAGTGTGAAATGATAGACTGAGACTAAATTGGCAATTTTTTTGGAAAATATGATTTGGCCAAACGCGAAAGGCATAAATTCTGGAAAAATGTCACTTGTGGTCATTTTTATGTTATCTCAATTGTTGCCCCCAGATTGTACAAAAATGCCAAATCAGACATCCAGTTTAACTACTCTGCATCTAGCGTGTCTATTCATGTGTAAAATAATTGTCTGGGACTCACTGTTTAGTGGTAGGACACAAACAAGTTGTTAGGAACATTTCTTCGTAAAATTTGTTTTTCACTTTTATCTTATCTATTTTTCTGTCACCTATGAGCTCCAAAGTGTCCAATTTCTCATCTAGAGTATCTCGTCAAGTGTGAAATGATAGACTGAGACTAAATTGGCAACTTTTTGAAAAATATGATTTTGGCCAAACGCGAAAGGCATAAATTCTGAAAAATGTCACTTGTGGTCATTTTTATGTTATCTCAATTGTTGCCCCCAGATTGTACCAAAATGCCAAATCAGACATCCAGTTTAACTACTCTGCATCTAGCGTGTCTATTCATGTGTAAAATAATTGTCTGGGACTCACTGTTTAGTGGTAGGACACAAACAAGTTGTTAGGAACATTTCTTCGTAAAATTTGTTTTTCACTTTTATCTTATCTATTTTCTGTCACCTATGAGCTCCAAAGTGTCCAATTTCTCATCTAGAGTATCTCGTCAAGTGTGAAATGACAGACTGAGACTAAATTGGCAACTTTTTGGAAAATATGATTTTGGCCAAACGCGAAAGGCATAAATTCTTCAAAAATGTCCCTTGTGGCCATTTTTATGTTATCTCAATTGTTGCCACCAAATTGTACCAAAATGCCAAATCAGACATTCAGTTTACCTCATCTGGATAAATTCTTCGTAAAATTTGTTTTTCTCCACTTTTATCTTATCTATTTTTCTGTCACCTATGAGCTCCAAAGTGTCCAATTTCTCATCTAGTAATATCTCGTCAAGTGTGAAAATGATAGACTGAGACTGAATTGGCAACTTTTTTGGAAAATATGATTTTGGCCAAACGCGAAAGGCATACCAATCTCTGGAAAAATGTTCCATTTGTGTTTTTCATTTTTTTATGTTATCTCATTTGTTGCCCCCAAGATTGTACCAAAATGCCAAATCAGACATTCAGTTTACCTACTCTGCATCTAGCGTGTCTATTCATGTGAAAATAATTGTCTGGGGACTCACTGTTTAGTGGTAGGACACAAACAAGTTGTTAGGAACAATTCTTCGTAAAATTGTTTTTCACTTTTATCTTATCTATTTTTCTGTCACCTACGAGCTCCAAAGTGTCCAATTTATCATCTAGAGTATCTCGTCAAGTGTGAAATGATAGACTGAGACTAAATTGGCAACTTTTTGACAAATATGATTTTGGCCAAACGCGTAAGGCATAAATTCTGAAAATTGTCACTTGTGATCATTTTTATGTTTTCTTAATTGTTGCCCCCAGATTGTACAAAAATGCCAAATAAGACATCCAGTTTAACTACTCTGCATCTAGCGTGTCTATTCATGTGTAAAATAATTGTCTGGGACTCACTGTTTAGCGGTAGGACACAAACAAGTTGTTAGGAACATTTCTTCGTAAAATTTGTTTTTCACTTTTATCTTAGCTATTTTTCTGTCACCTATGAGCTCCAAAGTGTCCAATTTATCATCTAGTGTATCTCGTCAAGTGTGAAATGATAGACTGAGACTAAATTGGCAACTTTTTTTTGAAAAATATGATTTTTGGCCAAACGCGAAAGGCATAAATTCTGGAAAAATGTCACTTGTGGTCATTTTTATGTTATCTCAATTGTTGCCCCCAGATTGTACAAAAAATGCCCAAATCAGACATCCAGTTTAACTACTCTGCATCTAGCGTGTCTATTCATGTGTAAAATAATGTCTGGGACTCAATGTTTAGTGGTAGGACACAAACAGTTGTTAGGAACAATTTCTTCGTAAAATTTGTTTTTCACTTTTATCTTATCTATTTTTTCTGTCACCTACGAGCTCCAAAGTGTCCAATTTCTCATTCTAGAGTATCTCGTCAAGTGTGAAATGATAGACTGAGACTAAATTGGCAACTTTTTTGCAAATATGATTTTTGGCCAAACGCGAAAGGCATAAATTCTGGCAAAATGTCACTTGTGGTCATTTTTATGTTATCTCAATTGTTGCCCCCAGATTGTACCAAAATGCCAAATCAGACATTCAGTTTACCTACTCTGCATCTAGCGTGTCTATTCATGTGTAAAATAATTGTCTGGGACTCACTGTTTAGTGGTAGGACACAAACAAGTTGTTAGGAACAATTCTTCGTAAAATTTTGTTTTTCACTTTTATCTTATCTATTTTTCTGTCACCTACGAGCTCCAAAGTGTCCAAATTTCTCATCTAGAGTATCTCGTCAAGTGTGAAATGATAGACTGAGACTAAATTGGCAACTTTTTTGGCAAATATGATTTTGGCCAAACGCGAAAGGCATAAATTCTGCAAAAATGTCACTTGTGGGTCATTTTTTATGTTATCTCAATTGTTGCCCCCAGATTGTACCAAAATGCCAAATCAGACATCCAGTTTACCTACTCTGCATCTAGCGTGTCTATTCATGTGTAAAATAATTGTCTGGGACTCACTGTTTAGTGGTAGGACACAACAAGTTGTTAGGAACACATTTCTTCGTAAAATTTGTTTTTCACTTTTATCTTATCTATTTTTCTGTCACCTATGAGCTCCAAAGTGTCCAATTTCTCATCTAGAGTATCTCGTCAAGTGTGAAATGATAGACTGAGACTAAAGTGGCAACTTTTTTGTGAAAATATATGATTTTTGGCCAAAAGCGACGAAGGCATAAATTCTGGGAAAAAATGTCACTTGTGGTCATTTTTATGTTATCTCAATTGTTGCCCCCAGATTGTACAAAAATGCCAAATCAGACATTCAGTTTACCTACTCTGCATCTAGCGTGTCTATTCATGTGTAAAATAATTGTCCTGTGGACTCACTGTTTAGTGGTAGGAACACAAACAAGTTGTTAGAAACAATTCTTCGTAAAATTTGTTTTTCACTTTTATCTTATCTAATTTTTCTGTCACCTATGAGCTCCAAAGTGTCCAATTTTATCATCTAGAGTATATCGTCAAGATGTGAAATGTAGACTGAGACTAAATTGGCAAGATTTTTTTGCCAAATAGGATTTTGGCACAAGGCACAAAAAAAAAGGCATAAATTCTGCAAAAAAACTGTCACATTGTGGTCATTTTTATGTTTATCTCAATTGTTGCCACCAGATTGTACAAAAATGCCAAATCAGACATCCAGTTTAACTACTCTGCATCTAGCGTGTCTATTCATGTAGTAAAAATAAATTGTCTGGGACTCACAATGATGTTTACAGTTGGTAGGACACAAACAAGTTGTTAGGAACATTTCTTCGTAAATTTGTTTTTCACTTTTATCTTATCTGTTTTTCTGTCACCTATGAGCTCCAAAGTGTCCAATTTATCCATCTAGAGTATCTCGTCAAGTGTGAAATGATAGACTGAGGACTAAATTGGCCCACTTTTTTGCAAATATATTTTGGCCAAAACGCGAAAGGGCATAAATTCTGGAGGAAAATTGTCAATTAGTGGTCATTTTTATGTTATCTCAATTGTTGCCCCAGATTGTACAAAAAATGACCAAATCAGACAATCCAGTTTAACTACTCTGCATCTAGCGTGTCTATCATGTGTAAAATAATTGTCTGGGACTCACTGTTTAGTGGTAGGACACAAACAAGTTGTTAGGAACAATTCTTCGTAAAATTTGTTTTCACTTTTATCTTATTTTTTCTGTCACCATGAAAGAGCTCCAAATTGTCTCAATTTCTCATCTAGAGTATCTCGTCAAGTGTGAAATGTTCATAGACTGAGACTAAATTGGCAACTTTTTGCAAATATTATTTTGGCCAAAGCAAGCGCGAAAGGCATAAAATTCTGGATTAAAAATTGTCACTTGTGGTCATTTTTTATGTATCTTCAATTGTTGCTCCCAGATTGTATACCAAAATGCCAAATCAGACATTCAGTTTAACTACTCTGGCATCTAGCGTGTCTATTCATGTGTAAAAATAATTGTTGGGACTCAATGTTTAGTGGTAGGACACAAACAAGTTTGTTAGGAACACAATTCTTCGTAAAATTTGTTTTTCACCTTTTATCTTATCTATTTTTTCTGTCACCAACGAGCTCCAAAGTGTCCAATTTATCATCCTAGAGTATCTCGTCAAGTGTCAGAAATGATAGACTGAGACTAAATTGGCAAACTTTTTGGAAAAATATTGATTTTGGCCAAACGCTGAAAGGCATAAATTCTGGAAAAATGTCACTTTGTGGTCATTTTTATGTTATCTCAATTGTTGCCCCAAGATTGTACCAAAATGCCAAATCAGACATTCGTCCAGTTTAACTACTCTGCATCTAGCGTGTCTATTAATGTGTAAAAAATAATTGTCTGGGACTCACTGTTTAGTGTGTAAGGACACAAACAAGTTGTTAGGTTGGAACATTTCTCGTAAAATTTGTTTTTTCACTTTTTATCTTATCTATGTTTTTCTGTCACCAATGAGCTCCAAAGTGGTCCAATTTATCATCTAGAGTTATGGACTCGTCAAGTGTGAAATGATAGACTGAGACTTCTAAATTGGCAACTTTTTTGGAAAATATGATTTTTGGCCAAACGTGGCGACAAGGGCATAATTCTCTGAAAAAATTGTCACTTGTGGTCATTTTTATGTTATCTCAATTGTTCCCCCCAGATTGTACATAAAAATGCCAAATCAGACCTATCCAGTTTAGACTACTCCTGCATCTAGCGTGTCTATTCATGTGTAAAATAATTGTCTGGGACTCACTGTTTAGTGGTTAGGACCACAAACAAGTTGTTAGGAACAATTCTTCGTAAAATTGGAGTTTTTCACTTTTATCTTATCTATTTTTTCTGTCACCAACGAGCTCCAAAAGTGTCCACTTTTATTCATCTAGAGTATCTCGTCAAGTGTGAAATGATAGACTGAGACTAAAACTTTGGCAACTTTTTTGAAAAATAATTTTGGCCAAACGCGAACAAGGCATAACATTCTGGAAAAATGTCACTTTGTGGTCATTTTTCGGTTATCTCAATTGTTGCTCACAGATTGTACAAAAATGCCAAATCAGACAGTCAGTTTTAACTACTCTGTATAAGCAGCGTGTCTATTCATGTGTAAAAATAATTGTCTGGGACTCACTGTTTAGTGGTAGGACCAAACAAGTTGTTAGGAACATTTCTTCGTAAAATTTTTTTTTTCACTTTTATCTTATCTATTTTTTTCTGTCACCTTTGAAGCTCCAAAGTGTCCAATTTAACATCTAGAGTATTCTCGTCAAGTGTGAAATGATAGACTGAGACTAAATTTGGCAATTTTTTTGTCAAATATGATTTTGGCCAAAGCGTAGGCATAAATTCTGCAAAATTGTCACTTGTGGTCATTTTTATGATGCTCAATTGTTGCCCCAGATTGTACAAAAAATGCCAAATCAGACATCCAGTTTTAAACTAGCTCTGCATCTAGCGTGACATTCATGTGTAAAATAATTGTACTGGGACGTTAATTGTTTAGTGGTATTTTTTTTTTTACACAAACATTAGTTGTTAAGAACATTTCGATGTCGTTAAAATTTGGTTTTTTCACTTTTATTCTTATCTTTTTTTCTGTCACATTAATGGAGCTACCCTTTAAAGTTTCCCATTTCTCATCATAGAGTAGTCTCGTCAAGATGTGGATGAAATGATAGACTGAGACGTTAAATTTGTTGCAACTTTTTTGGAAAATATTATGAATTTTGGCCAAAACGCGATTAGGTGAGCTAAAAATTTTGCGAAACTATTTTTTTTTTTTTTTTTTTTTTTTTTTTTTTTTTTTTTTTTTTTTTTTTTTTTTTTTTTTGGTTTCATCTTGTGGTTCAGTTTTTTTTTTGTTATCTCCAATTGTTGCCCCAGAAGTTTTTTTTTTTTTTTTTTGTACATTAAACTGCCAAAAGTCAGTCTATCATTCAGTTTGAACCCTACCCCTCTGACATCTAGCGTGTCATATTCATGTGTTATAAGGAGATTTTGTCTGGTATAAGTTCGGACTCACTGTTTAGGGTAGGACACAAAAAGTTGTTAGGAATCATATCTTCGTAAAAAAATTTGTTTTTCACTTTTATCGAACTATTTTTCTGTCTAACCCACGAGCTCCAAAGTGTGCCAATTTTATCATCTAGAGTAAGATCTCGGTCAAGTGTGAAATGATAGACTGAGACTTAAAGTGGCAACTTTTTTGCAACATATAATTATTATTTTGGCCAAACGCGTAAGGCATAAATTCTAGCAAAATTGTCCACTTGTCGGTCAGTTTTTATGTTATCTCAAATTGTTGCCCCCCAGATTGTACACAAAATGTCAAAATCAGACATCCAGTTTACCTAATCTGACATCTTAGCGTGTCTAGCATATGTGTAAAATAATTGTCTGGGACTCACTGCTTTAGTGGTAGAGGACAACAATAACAAGTTGTTAGGAACATTTCTATCATAAAATTTGTTTTTCACTTTTATCTTATCATATTTTTCTGTCACTTATGAGCTCCAAAGTGTCCACTTTTCTTCATCTAGAGTATCGCGTTCAAGTGTGAAATGATAGACTGAGATTAAAAAATGCCAACTTGTTGGCAAATATGATTTTTGGCCAAAAGCGTGAGACATATAATCTCTGGGAAATTGTAACTTGTGTTCACAGTTTTATGTTATATCAATTGTTGCCATCAGATTGTTACAAAAATGCCAAAATCAGACATCCAGTTGAAACTACTCTGCATCGTTAGCGTGTCTATAATGGGTCACATAAATTTGTGGTGAACTCAACGTTAGTGGTAGGACACAAACAAGTTGTTAGGAAACATTTCTTCTCCATAAAATTTGTTTTTCACTTTATATCTTATCTATTTTTCTGTCAACCAACCCGAGCTCCAAAGTGTACCAATTTATCTCATCTAAGAGTATCTCGTCAAGATGTGAAATGATAGACAATAAGACAAAAATGGCAAACTTTTTTGTCAAATATTATTTTGGCCAAAACGCGTAAGGGCATAAAATCTGGCAAAAAGTCACTTGTACGTCAATTTAAGGTTATCTCAATGTGTGCAATCAGATTGTACCAAAAATGGAAAATCAGATATCCAGTATAACTACTTTGCACCGGCGTGTCTATTCATGTGTAAAATAATTGTCTGGGACTCAATGTTTAGTGGTAGGACACAAACACAAGTGTTAGCGAAACAATTCTTAGTAAAAATTTGTTTTTCACTTTTATCTTATCTATTGTTCTGTCACCAACGAGCTCCAACGTGTCCAATTTCTCATCTAGCGGTAATCTCGCCAAGTGTGAAGATTATAGATGAGACAAAAATTGGCAACTTGTTTGCAAACATGATTTTGGCCAAAACGCGTGAAGTATAAGAATTCTGGAAAATTTTCACTGTTAGGTTCATTTTTATGTTATCTCAATTGTTGCCAATGTTGCCCCTAGATTGTACAAAAATGGCAATCAGACATCAGTTTAACTACTCTGCATCTAGCGTGTCTATTCATGTGTAAAATAATTGTCTGGGTACTCATTGTTTAGTGGTAGGACCACAAAACAAGTTGTTAGGGAACAATTTCTTTCGTAAAATTTATTTTTCACTTTTATCTTATCTAGTTTTTCTGTCACCTAGGAGCTCCAAAGTGTCCAATTTCTCATCTAGATTATCTCGTCAAGTGTGAAATGATAAGACCGGCGACAAAATTGGCAACTTTCTTGAAAGATATGATTTTGGCAAACGCGTAAGGTATAAATCGGAAAAATAGTTACATGTGTGGTTAATTTTTAATGTTATCTCAAATTGTTGCCCGCAGATTGTAACAAAATGCCAAATTCATACATTCAGTGTTACCTTTTCTGCATCTAGCGTGTCTATATATTTGTGTAAAATAATTGCCTAGGACTCAGTTTAGTCGTAGGACACAAACAATTGTTATGAACAATTCTTCGTAAAATTTGTTTTTTTTCACTTTTTTTTATCTATTTTTCTGTCACCGATGGCTCCAAAGTGTCCCAAAATTTTTCATTAGATATTCCCTCAAGTGGAAATGATGACTGAGACTAAATTTGGGAACTTTTTGAAAAAAAAATTTATTTTGGCCAAACGGAAGGCATAAATTCTGAAATTTTTCACTGTGGTATTTTTAGTAATTTAATTGTTTTCCCCAGATTGTACAAAATCCAAAACAGACTTCAGTTTTTCTACTCTGCATCTGGGTCTATTAGTGTAAAAAATTGTCTGGGA